TAATTAAATAACTTAAATAATTAAATAACTTAAATAATTAAATAACTTAAATAATTAAATAACTTAAATAATTAAATAACTTAAATAATTAAATATAAAAAATAACTAAAGTAAAAGAAATAACTAAAATAAAGGAAATAACTAAATAAATTATATAACTGTAAGAGGTATCGAGCAGGAAACACAGGTCACAGAGAGGGAATGCAGGATAGAGGGGGTAACGAGAGTAAACCTTAGGGTCGGAGGCAGAGGTACAGAGGCCGAGGAGCCTATATACCCCGTGCCAAGCCTAGGGTACTCAGGGGTTGGATAGCTGTAACATAGCCGTGACAATAACTAAAATAAACTAAATAGTTTTTATTTATAGTTTTACTATATATAACTACTAGTAGTACTATTATAACTAGAGACACTAGTAGTACTTTTATTTTCTAACTCTTCTAACTCTTCTTTATCTTCTAGATTTATTATTTGTTTTTGTTTTCCTTTAGAACTACTAGGTAAAGTATAATTATAATAAAGTTGCTTTTTACTAACGTACTTTACAGGCAAGTTGCTCACACACCTAAGTTACTTACTTTTGCTAAGACTCTACTAAACTACTTTTTCTACACTAATGCATTCCCTATAACACTACTTAGACGCGCTAAAAGAACATTAGATACAGCTTACACTCTAAGCTTTTAAATAAAATATAAAACTCTTAAAGAAATATGCTGTAGCTATATATAAAGTCTTATAAAAGATAATAAATAACTATAGCACTAGATAACCTTTATAAGCTAATTCTACAGCTAAATTATAAAGGCTAGGTAATAAAAAAAAGTAGGTAATTATTAAGACTATACTTAAGCTATATGCGTAAAGAATTTCCTCTTAGATAGCATTTATAGCTAATATAGCTAATTCTTTACGCGCTAAGCGTAATCTAGGCTATGTTTACATAAACTAGCCTAGTATGTTTGTAAAGTATTATTTAAAGCTTAAAGTAAAGTTTTAAGCGTAAGTATAGTTAAAAGATATCTAGCTAATTATAAACTCTATTTTTCTAAAGTTATACATGTTATTATTTTAAATGCTATACTTAGCTTTAATATTCTCTATAAGGCTAAACCTGCCTTAAATTACTTTAGAACTTTTATAGAAAGCTTTTTTATAGTTATACTTACGCTTAAATATTACTTTAAGCTCTAAATAACACTTTACAAACATACTAGGCTAGTTTATGCAAACATAGCCTAGATTATGCTTAGCGCGTAAAGAATTAGCTATATTAGCTATAAATGCTATCTAAGAGGAAATTCTTTACGCATATAGCTTAAGTATAGTCTTAATAATTACCTACTTCTTTTTATTACCTAGCCTTTATAATTTAGCTGTAGAATTAGCTTGTAAAGGTTGTCTAGCACTATAGTTATTTATTATTTTTTATAGAACTTTATACATAGCTATAGCACATTTTTTTAAGAGTTTTATGTCTTATTTAAAAGCTTAGAGTGTAAGCTGTATCTAACATTCTTTTAGCGCGTTTAAGTAGTTGTAGGGAATGCATTAGTATAGGAAGAGTAGTTTAGTAGGGTCTTAGCAAAAGTAAGCAACTTAGGTGTGTAAGCAACTCGCCTGTGAAGTACGTTACTTAATTACTAACTATTTAGAGAATAAGCTAGAGTCTACTTCTAGCTATAAAAGTAACCTTTAAAGCTATGTATAAAATACATTTTAAACTATATAATATTACATAAGTGTACATCTAATTAATAGATAAGATGTGGAGGATAAAATAGTCTAGCAGTAGCTGTTTAGAAGATTAGATGAAGTAACTCCGCTATCTAAGAGAGTTAAAGGCTCTCCTTATATACACTAAGCTTTAGAACATACTATCTCTAGATCCTAAGCCGCGCCCTAGACTCTAAGCCCTAGCTAAGGCTCTTAGTATACGCGACACACCCCCTAGGTAAGCTGCGCAGCTGCTTACCTGCGTAGAGCGTTAACTTAGCTTATTAGAGCAGCGCTGCGCATTTACCCTGTGCTTCTGTGTTACAATTCTTGCTCGTAGGGATCCTTTTAGGATGCGTCGAGCACACGGGCCTGGTTGGGTTTCGGAGGAGCACTAAGGGGAGCCTGCCTTGGGTGTACGGCCCTTGATCTGGTTCTAGGAATAAGGGGTAGAGGATGGCTGAATTGTGGTTTGCCCTTAGACAGCGGTATAGGCGCTAGATTAAACAGTTCTAGGGATAGAACTAGAGGTATATATAGTGTAAAATATACAACTAGTATTACAGCTTATTAAACAGCTAGAATACTACTTAGTTTATGTAAAAATAAACTAAACTTTAATTACACTTTTTAAAGGTTAACTAAACATGTTTTTATATACATAGCTACACTTATTATTCCTGTAGTCCTTAGCCTTATCTAGCCTACAGGTGCTGCTGTTGTCCTATCTAGCTATTATGCTTAGCCTTTACTTAGCCTTGCAGCTGTGCTGCATAACTGCTGTGCTTAGCTTCGCTAAGCCTTTTAGTTTTATAGGTGTTTTCTTATTAGACAGCGCATTTGCTTTTTCTGTGTTCTAGGGGAGCAGAGCTAGTAGGTACTATAGCGTTCCCTAGCTCTTCTTATTTAAGCATAAAGGGGTTCTATACCTGCTTATTTAGATAGTAGGGGCTGCTGCTTAGGTCCTATCTAGTCTATTTATAGACTGTAACATGTAGGCTTCTTTTCTTAACAGCGTCCTTACCGTTCTTCCTACACTGCTGTAAGTGCTAGAAGTCGCTTATTACTTATAAGT